AATTCAAATCTTTTAATTAGTAACCCCCTCGGCTTACTTCAAGACAAGATTTCGTTGGGATTTATTGATGACGTTACACATTTTGTAGCTGATAAACATCTTGAGAGAGCTATTTCTTCACTAGAAAGTGAAGGTGATCGTTCGTTGGAATGGGGAAAAAGAAATAATGCAATCTTCGACAAAAAGAAAGCTAATTTCATGATTTTTACTCACAAAAAGGTTGATGTTCGTCCTTTCCGACTTGGTGATGTTCGCATGCCAAAGTCCGATTCCGTCAAATACCTCGGCATCATTCTGGATCCCCAACTCTCCTTCAAACTTCATTTAGATAAGGTTAAAAAATGTGGTATCAGCTCGATTGGTCAACTTAATCGTATTTCTCGGTGTTCTTTTGGTTTGGGCTTACAGCAATCAAAAAATTTGATTATTAGTGTTCTTCGTTCTAGAATTCTTTACGGAAGTTGTATCTGGGCTTCTAAAAGGAATGAATCAGCAGTTAAAAATGTTATCAGTAAAATTAATAATCAAGCTAACAGAATTATTCTCGGTGTTTTTAGAACCACTCCATGTAATTTTCTTAATAGGGACTCACCTCTTATTCCTTTTTTTGATGTATTAAAAAAGAAAAATCATTTGTATGTCAGTAAAAAATTAACAGCCACTAACGACCATCCAATCAAACAACTCATCAATCACGAAATCAACAATTTACCTCGATCTCATCTATCCTCAATCCACAATCTTCTCGACAATCACCTTCTCCCAGAATACGACCTTCAATCTCTAGAAATAATCAAGTTTCATGTTGTTCCGCCGTGGTCCAACTTTTCTCTTGATGTTAACAATTTGAACATTAAGAAAGAAAAAGCTAAAGAGATTGTGACTAAACCAATTTCTGACAAAAAAGGTAAAAAAGAGATCCTTCTTTTTTCGGATGGTTCTAATATTCCAGATAAAGGAACAGCTTCAGCGGCTTTACTCAATAATTCAATCTCCTTTGCCTGTAGAATCAATGATGCAGAGAAAGCTTCGGCTTATGAAGCTGAGGTCCAGGCTATCAATATTGGTCTCGATATCATCAGTAATGAAGCCGAGAAGAACAACTTACCACCATTCAACAATGTCAACATCTTTTCGGATAACCAAGCCACTCTTCAAGTTATCGCCAATCCACCTCTGTCAAAATCAAATCAGTCTACCTTTATTCAAATCTTCGACAAGTTGAATATCCTCATCACCGATTTCCATTTTTCGATTTCGCTCCTATGGTGTCCGGCACATGTCGGCATTCCAGAAAATGAGAAAGTCGATCAACTCGCCAAAGAAGCCACAGAAGGAAACACTCTTTTCGACCTCGAACAACAATCTAGAACACTTTCCAATATTCAACAAATCATCAATTCAAAATTCAGTTTCGTCAAAAAAAAGGATCCTATCATTCGCAATCATATCTCCTTATCCAACATACCTATCAAGATTTTTAATTCGCTAAATCGACTCGAACGCGGACTTTCTTCGACAATTTATCAGCTACGATCGGGTCATTCACCTCTTAACGACTTTCTCTTCCATATCGATAAAATCGACTCGCCAGACTGTAGTCATTGTCGATCTCCAGAAACCGTCAAACACTTTCTTATCGAATGTAGAAGATTCAATCAACAAAGGAAAAATTTCAGATCAAGACTAATTTCGAACAAAATCAAGATTAATCCAAATTCATTGAAAGACTTACTCGACAATCCTTCAGTTTTCGATCTCCTTTCAAAATTCATCCTCGATACCAAACGATTTAAAAGCATCAAGATCTATACAGAAGAAGTTTAAAAAAAAAAAAACTCTTAGTGTTGCGGGTTTTTTCCTTTTCTTTTTTTTCTCTATCTTTTTCTTCGATGATTTCTTTTTTCTCTCTCTTTTAAAAAAATAAAAAGCTATTTTTACTCACAAGTTATTTTTCATAACCATTGTTTTTCGGTAGGGTAATCGGGCTGAATCCTAAATTTAGGTCGAGTTCGATTATCTTTCTGCCCGCTTTAATCCAGGGTATGAGGCTTGAGCAACCTCATAACACGCTGTCTGGGCCGCAGTCGTGACGAAAGATGGTCGGACTCGGCTTCATATGAGGGGTTTGGTCTCGATAAAAGAGGCGGATTTTTTCATGATTATTCTTTTTTTTGGGCGCGGTTTTTTTCTCTTTTTCTCTTTTTTTTCATTCGGTTTATTTTCATTAAAAGTTATTTTCATCAACACTCAAGGTTATAAATATTTATCAAAAATATTCTATCATGTATTTCTTTTTCAAAACGTCATCGTAGCTATATAGACACTAGTATTCACTATGGTGCGCAATGTCAAATCAATAAGCACTAAAAAAAAAAAAAAAAAAAAAAAAAAAAAAATCAGTCTCATTTATTCACCCTGCATGGGTAGCATAATAGTCACAACAGAAATTTACAAAGATTTTAAATCCCATTTCAAGCCGGTGTTTATCAACAACTTTTTTGCAAAATTGAAAATATATTCTGACTGCTCCAAAACCCCCAAATCTGAACATCTTGTCAAAGGGTCTACAGATTGGTTGATAAGCCCCTTAAAATTGGCAATAAAAACCCTTGTATACTTAACCCCCAATATATTGCTCTTCACCAGAAAAGAAAAACATTCATACAAATTAAGAATGGACTCTGAAGAAAGAAAAGCATCAAACTGCTAGGCCCACATTGAACTAATCAACTGATTCAAATATCATGATACTCTAAACTAAGGTTATCAATCTTGATTAGCTGGTTTTGGAGAGTTGTAACATGAGTAGCAGAACAGGAAGACAGTTGTCTATAACATGGTCCAGTGAAAATAAATATTCCTCTCACAAGTAACAGTGGTAACAACACTGTTAGAGCTTGGCTATCTCTTACACGTATGATCACTTGCCCTCACTTCAAACTATTATTTTAAACCTTGACTACTATCAGCTGGCAAGCAAAACCCAGTTACCCCTTAACTAGTCAACTTAATGGTTTGCCACCACATATGCTTGTGTCCAGTTGGCCTTGCCAAGCCAGATATATAAATCTGTACCGAATGAAGTCTATTTTTCCCCGGACTTCCAGAAGAGACAAAATAATAACCATCTTTTACTCACATCATTCCTCTTTCTCTTGAAGATACATCAACATATCACTACCTCAATCTAGTGTACTCCTTTCACATCAGCACATCACTGTTTGGTAATGGATACGCCTGACTGTTGAAACTTGACGTGCAATCAGTTCTAGTTGGTAGATCTACAAGTCACAAGCTGCACCACCCACAAATGCTGCCATGTGAGATGTACAGACTGCACCACCCATTTCGGCATCTGACAGATGTGTCAAACATCTGAACCATATTTTCTTCTCAGGCCTTGGTCAATCATTTCCCTTCAACCTCCTCCAATCGGCCTCATCACCAATCCTCTCCCAAACTAATTTCACCAGCACACCAATAAACAAACCACCTGCACACTCAACTCAACTCCTTCTGGATGTCTTGTCCCATCTTCAACTTGGTGTGAATTGCTGTCAAAGCACTTCATCATTCCTTACTCCTTTACTCTCTCTCTCTTTCACTCTGTTGCTGTTAAAAATCAAAAACTAATCTATTTTCTATTCATCCCTGTCTTCTTCATTTTAGTTGTCTGTAATCAGTTCTAACCAACATCTTGGGTATGCTTGCTTAATCCTTAATTCTCATTTTATCACTGTTATTGTGTCTCTAATATATTGTATTCAGCTCTGGTTTTCTATCTGTAAAATTAATTCATTCAAAGGTTCTTTACTGACTGTCTCAAAACTTATCATAATGGCTTGGTGTGAGCTCTTTGGATCAGATCAGAATCCTTCCAAAATGTGGAGTCTCTGGTTGTCTCCAGTAAACTTCCATTGGGTGGATCTCATCACACAGCAACATTGCATCATCATGGATTGTTGTAGTCTGCAATTGCATAATCTACCTTTAATATAGCTAGTAGTGGCACCCAAACAAATCTCAGGAGCTCTTCTTTATTTTGGCTCTGGCCCCCTATCCAGGTAGGGATGGATGTGGCTGTTACTGTTTATGGAATGGCAAGACAAAGAAAATGTCACTAGTGAAAGTGAGATTTTGAGCAGAAGTGGATCAGGATCACTTGCAGTTTTTGCATCAAAAGATAAAAAGTTTGCGGAGCCAAAAAGACTGTTCTCCAATCCAAATTTCAGTTTTTCTTCCTGTCGCCAATTGGGCTCCTGTAAGGGCTTCACCCTTACATGAGCTGTACTGTAGATAGAAGCATATCACAGATGCTTATACATAGTAGACCAAACTCTGGAGATTATAGGACTGTATCTTGAACTGACTTCCTCTTCCCTTTTTCCTCAAGCTGGTCTTCATTCTTTATCTTCTAAGTTTTCTCTTTTCCAACTTTTCTCACAAGACACAGTGAAATTGCATTCTTTTTATAGACTTCTGGCCTTTGGCCCTCAGACCCACCAGCTTGATCAGTGAAAGACTTCTAGTCCTTACAGCTCCGTCCAACCTCTCACTGTGCATCTGATTTTCCCACCCTCCATACTATCCCATAGACCCAAATAGGTTTTTTTGGGGAGGCAATTTTTTTTCCTTTGCTCAGAATTTTTGATTTTTTTGTAAAAAGCAGCAGACAGACCTAGATCTGCTGTAACAAAAAGAGGGCTCAAATATCCGGAATTCTCATTCCAGAAATCCTGATAAGTCATAATTCCCTCAGGCAAAGAGGGACTTTGTTAAGTTGGCATTCACCCCAAGTCCGATGTGTACCGTCGTACCGACCGAGAGAGAAGCTGGCCCCGTGACTCGGGGACCTCATGACCTCCGAAACGGAAAGACTGAGACCGGCTCGCCTTTCGGATGGTGATGTCATCCCATTCCCACCCTCCGGCTCCCTTGTTGACCACATCCTGAATCTTGCTCTACATAATACATACACATTCGGTTGTTCCCCCATCATGTCTCAGCTTATTCAGCGCTGTGGAACCCCTGGATTTGCAGGTTATTCGTGTGCTTATAGTCCCTTCTATCCGAACAAGCTTGCCGTGGCTACTGCTGCAAACTTCGGTCTAGTCGGCAATGGGAGACTCCACATTCTTCAAGCGGATCCGAGTACTTCACTCAATATCGAAAAGTTGTAAGAGATCCTATCTAGTTTCAAGATATACCTTATGTATCTACCATACTGATCAAAGGCAATAAAAAAAATCTATAGATTCGATTCTCAGGACGGCTTGTACGACGTTGCGTGGTCAGAAATTCACGAGAATCAACTGGCTACTGCTTCTGGTGACGGTTCCATCAAGTTGTGGGACATTATGCTCAACGTGAATTGTGGTCTTTTGAATTCAAACTGAGCGCTTTCATCCCATCGAGACGTTTACGCGATCAACGCTCCGGTTGAATCAGGAATTTCCGATGCAATCTTGGCATGAGCACAAGCGAGAAGTGTTTTGTTTGGACTGGAATAACTTGAAAAAGGAGATCTTTGCATCCTCTTCATGGGATCATCTGGTCAAGATCGTAAGTTAAATCCTACGTTTATAGGATCGGACAGCCTTTTTTGACTTTCTCCTACGTTTTTACAGTGGACACCTTCCCGATCCGATTCTATAATGACCATACCTGCTCACGAGTCCTGCGTCTATGCAGCCCGCTTTTCGCCATCATCGCCTGATACACTCGCCACATGTTCTTCCGATGGGTCTTTAAAAATCTGGGATACACGAAACTCACCTGAAACTCGGCCCCCTCTGGTGATTCCAGCCCATTCGAACGAAGTCTTATCTCTAGATTGGAACAAGTACGCAACTCATTTTATCGCAACGGCTTCGGTGGATCGAACGGTCAAGATCCACGACATTCGAAAAGCCAGCGCGGGTTCCGCTCACAATTCTTGCGTAGAAACTTTGGTCGGCCACCAATATGCCATTCGTAAAGTTGCCTGGTCTCCACACGCAGCCGATAAAATTGCGACTTGTGGTTACGACATGACCGCTCGAGTGTGGATCATACCACAAATTAGCGGACAAGCTCCCTTACCTGGTGCGATGGGCGCTATTTCTCCTTCAGGAATCCATAATGCCCACAAGGAATTTGTTGTTGGCTTAGCCTGGAGCTTGTATCATCCTGGTTTACTTGCGACTGCTAGCTGGGACCAAGAGGTGCATCTCTGGTCGATCTAAATTGCACTAACATAAGTTGCATGTCCTCTCAAACCTCACGCCAACCGTCTCTACAGCACATATCGCCCTGCTCTAGGCTAAATGGTTAGGTTCATGTTGCCTTAAGCTTACTGTTTCTTTAGTATTCACAAAATATTAGATTGCAGTTTGTACAAGGGCTAAAATAAGCAAAGGTATTTGGGTTTTTCTAACTTTGCTTCAGAAGTACAGACAGTGTAAGATTCATAAAAAGATTGAGCAAACAAAATGATCAAGCAAGCAGACCCTAATCGCCGTGATGAATCCTGGTACATATTGAGTGTTGAGAAAAGCCTTTGAACATTGAGCGATATTTCAAATCGGCTGATGATGTAGAATAAATATTTCACCTGGCATGTATAAGGGATGTTCTGTCTGGGCTCTTATGTATTTAGATTTAGGCGGCGAAGCCGTACGTAGCCTTTAGTACAAGAAAAACAAACCTATTCAAGCTAGTATCGGCAGGATGCTTCCATTCATGCCTTCATCTCGAGTCTCGCCTATGAATCGCTCCCAGATCCACGAGCCTCACGATTCATAAAGCAATAATCCCTCGGAGTTGATGGGGCAGGGTTGAGAAAATAGCTGCAATATTGTTGCCCATTCAGAAGGCCACCTGAAATGTTATGTTCTTCAAGTTGGCTGTGACTTACGTCGGGAAATTAATCTTTTTACCACCGCCACCTTGGAAGATCATGGCCAAGAAGAACACCACCAGCTCTGTTCCGCCGTCGAGAGCAGCAGATAAAATGTAGTTGTACTTGGTGAACCTAAATGATTGGTAAACGCAAATGCGGCGATCAGAAAACAGTTGCATGCCACCGGCCTCAATGGGCTTAATTTAGCGGACTATCCTGCTTACCATCGAGGTCGATACTTGCGCGCCCAAAACTGAGACATTAGCCCTATGATAATACGCATCGGTTCTCCTGCGTAGGCCGCTGGAAGGAGATACAAATCTTTACCTCATGACATGTTAAAGCTTCAAGCAACGTCGAGCGACTTACATGCGTACAAGCTCTGGACGATTCCACAAAAGAGAGGTACGTTGACCAGATCGAATTTGTATCGTGGCCAATATCTGTGGGCAACGAAGAATGGGACGGGGAGGAACAGTCCAGCCAAAACTCCCCAGCTAACCGCCGACTTCATTTCTCAATCCCGAAAAACAAACAAGGACCAGATCAATTCATCACTTTCACTTGATGACATTGTCCTAGCAATTAACATAAGACAGAAACCAATATTCACGTATTTTTGACCAAAAAGAAACATGCGCCTGGAGAAAATGCCCCAGCTTTGAGGATGGAAGACACGCGCCGAATGGGACGACATGTGAGCAAATTTCAAATTTAGTTTATGGCGAAGATCAAGTGCAAACCTGACAGAGCGCGCCTGGAAGGCAGCGATTTCAGCACCTGAGAAGACGCCGTCCCCGGAGGGAGAAAGCAAGACCTCGCGCTCGTTCTTGAGGATGGATTTCACGACTACCAGGGAAGCCAGGCTTCCAACCGTGCAGCCCATCAATTGAGAGTAAACGACGAGATTTTGTGGCAAATGTATATACTGTCCGTATTTTGAATCTCTCAGTATGCTGATACCTTGGGTAGCACTTTTGTTCAATCATTCAAAGACCAAGTGATCAGCAAAACCAACAAGTAGGGCGATGATGAACACGTAAGGCACAAAAGCACTGAGTAGAAAGACCTTGATGCCCCATACAGCGTAAACCACATGCTCCCAAACACGTTGCCCGGGAACAGAAGGCCGCCCAACATTTGGATGCCGCCAGAAAACCGTATCCTGAAACCGGCCATTGCATTTATAAATCCCGCTGCCAGTCTACAGTGAGTTGGTCAGTAAAACTCCCAGTTTCCTCCATGACCACAATCATCAAGTCGATATCCTCGGTTGATCTTGGAAGCTGGTGTAAATACGCACGTCATCAAGAAAGATAACACCAGAGCAACGAGCAAGCCAACGAAAGAAATGCCAGATTTATCGAGTGATGCCATTCCAAGGGCCAAGGCCACGGCTACAACAGATATTGAAACAAATCCCCTAGAAGAAAATGCTTGAGAAGATTAGTGAAGAAGAGAAAATTAAAGGAACATGATTGTCCGGAGGGCGTACCATATCGGGAAATCCTTATATTTCATACAAGCCAATCGATGTGGGTCAATTCCTTCCAAAGCCTTTGACTTCTTAAAAAATGAGCCGACTATATGATAATTATGCAACACAGCATGGGTGATGGAACTAGTTAAGAAAACCGAAACAAGAACTTGGACTATGTAGAAGGTGGCGGTGAAAAAGGGAAGTCCAGTTCTTTGAATGAACTGCTCATTGGCCGAGCCATCTTCTTTGATAGCCTGTCGATACGGATAGGGCTTCCCATCGGCAGTAAGTAGACTGGTCGACATGAATGGAAAGTTTTGACTCAGGCCCGCATCTGGATGTTGTTGCATTCAAGATTGAGTCGGTAGTTGGGTTAAGAAGGACGACTCGGTTTTAGTCTATAATAGCATATCATAAATCTCACCAAACCAGGATTTTGAATAAACCAAAAAGAAGATCAGCGTAGAAACCACCAAAGCAAGCAGTTCATAGACCTGAAACGGGCAGAAATATCGTCAAAACCTATCTCTAGAACCCAAACACTTTTTTCTGTCCAAGGAATTGAAGATTTGGAAACCTACCTGGGTGCTACGAGGCATGTACAGCGGTCCTCGACCACCGACCAAAGACCAATCAGCAGAAATGCTCAAGATTCCCATGCCTTCAAGTGGTCGAGCACCTCCAAAAATAGCCGTAACTAGTGGGTTTTTGGGTAGAGTCAAACAGAAGACACTGATGGCTTGAAAGGCCGGCGCTATGTAGGTTGGAAATATCTCGTCTTCACTCCAGGCGATTGTCAATTTATAAAAACAAGAGAATTCACTTCAGATACGTTGGACTCTTGAAGACCACTCCACTGACTTCTTCTTGCAGTATTGAATCAGATGGGTGTTATACTCACAAATCCCAATTGCTAGGAAAGCCTTCTTGAAGAATTTCACCTGGTCCTCGGATTCAGATCCGACTTTAAACAAGGAATTCAAAAGAGAGACGCTGGGAAGCACTTCACTGAAATTGAAGAAAAAAAAAAACACTTTCGTCAGGAAAGAGCTTTGCCTGGATAACTAGGTAGGTGACTTACGGAAATACCGTCCGAGAGGGATAAATGATGATGGGCTGTAGCAAGCCTGCCCACCCGAACCCAAGGAGCTGAGCACTCATTGAAATCCCAAAGGCAACGCCGAAATTGATAACCCGGTCAAAGTACAACTCGTACGCCGAAATCATCTGACCATTTCGACCCACCAAAAAGACACAGACGCGATGAGAGGTTTAGTGATGTCTTGCATCGATCCAATCAGAGATCATCAAATTCACCTCGGCTGACATCATGGCACCACTTGCCGTGGTCCCCATCAGAGCGGAGAAACCCGCTTCTTTCTTTGGTTAATATTGAAGTGTAAGTGATTGGCGTCACAAACATCAATCTCATCAATTTATAAAGGTTTTGGACTTTATTTCATTTTTGGAGGGAGTCCATACCAAACTGTAGGGACCTGGGTTCCACCATCTGGGACCAGGGATTAATGCACAACTTCGACCAATGAGCACTGACGCAATCTGCTCAACAAAAAAAAAAGGAAACACGTCGGCGACTGCGTGATATCATCCAATGAATTCAGTAAGCCTTACCTGAAGAAACATAAGTTTTATCTGCATATGAACCGGCTTGAAAAAGAAAAGCTTATAATCGATTGGAAACAGAATCTGCTTAATAAAAAAAAAACGAATCTTGATCGATCTGATCACCAGAATGACTTCTCACCTGGGTAATTGAGACTCCAAAGGCGGATAGCAGGACACCAATTAGGACCGACCTGACGGTCATAATTAGAGACTCGGGATCATCTTTGAGCGGCACTATCTCAACCTTTTGTTCAGAAGCGGGCGGGTCAATTTTCTCGTCTGCTTCGCGACCCTGCTTCACCAGAGGAGTAGGTGACAAGGCCAGGTGCGTATCTGATGGACTCAAGCCATCAGAGGTTGCACTAATTCGAGCATTTTCCTCCTCGATGAGTTCTGTGCGCGTGTCTGTTACGGACTGGGGTAGGATTGGAACAGGTATCTGCTTCAAGTCGACGACCGAGTCTACGATAAGGCTTTTTTGATGAGGATTGAGCGCGCCGGTGTCTTGCGACCGATGATCAAGGCCTACCGGCGAGTCCATCTGATTCAGTCTCAAAAAAGATGTTGACTCGCAGACGGATTGATTCTCTTTTAATCCCTAAAGAAAAAATAATAATTGGATATCGAAGGAGATTCGTTGGTCGCTTCATTCGGCAAAACACAAGCAGATATATCACTGTGACAGGAACAGCAAGCTGGAATACATAACCTTCGAGGAGGCCATTTGGAGTCAGTCCGAAGCGTCCAAATGTTAAAACCGCCTAACAACCGCAGAATCAAGGTATCAGTGGAGGCAGCCGGGACCCGCGATATCACTCGACACATGATTTGTCTCTGGGTATCCCACCAGGTGCATTCATTACTGGCCATCGCGGCTGGATTAGTCTTTGGTCATTGATGGAAAGATACTTCATCGGGCTGGGCAGATATCTTTCACTGAATGGGAATAGGGCAGGCGAATCATTTGTTCTGCTAGTAGAATTAGCAACACTGCAAAAACCGGATCCTGAAATATACAGAGCGATGAACTTGTTGAGAAATTTCTTGTTTCGATAAATTTGGCATTTAGAAACAGGGGGCCTTAACATTCTTTAGTGATCAACGAGAAGATAGGAGGAAACACACAAGGAAAGAGAAAGACAAAAAGAAAAATGAGATGAATCAAAGCTCTGCTTGCGGAGTTAAGGTTGATTTGACCAATGACTTTGAGGAAGAAGTTGCGAGATTGTCATTTAGTTTCTTCGTCGATCTGGACCAGAAGAATCATGAAGAAGAATCGCCTGAAGAAGAATCATCTGGAGAAGAATCGTCTGAAGAAGAATCGTCTGGAGAAGAATCGTCTGAGGATAGCCTCTCCGACGGTTCCTTGAGTTTATGAACAGACAAATCAAATTCAGTCGACCAAGTAGCAAACCAAGTCTTGAAGTAAGTTTGATGTGGGAAATCGTTGGTGTCCGGGATCCGAGGTAGGATGTATCGTTTGATAAGTTTTAGGGAAACGTTGAAACGTTCTTGAAGTTGTTCTGCTTGCCCAGCAGTGTCAGATGTATAAGCTTGTTTGACGCCCAATATCATACCACGAACATGATCAGAGACTTCTCTACTCAATCTGGATAGGGTTACTAGCTCCACAGAGCACATCTTCGTAAATAATGGGAACCCTTTCACGCGCATTCCTCGTCTAGATACTTTGTTCATGAACACTCTTGAGAGTTTGGCAACCGGTAATGCTAACTGGGCAAGTTGGGTAGCTTGTTGACTGGGGGGTTTGATGTGTCCGTTTGGCTCGTGTACAGGGTAAGCCAGACTATAGAGTGTTTCTATGTTGCTATTAAGTTGATCTCTAAGTCTAATGAAATCATCTTGGAGAAGGTCGAGCTCGGATCCTTCGAGGCATCTGATCATCTCATCGATATTCTCAAGAGTCAAATCGATTATGCCTGCTTCCAAATAGGTATCATAGGTAGAGGCTGATCTACTCGCGAGCCTCCGTAGCCTAATCGTGCTTGCAGCACCAAGGAAAATCCTGGTGAAACCCCTTTCTAGTACACCATGCTCGAACATGCCATTCAGCCCGCTGAGTCTAAAGCGTTTTAATCGGTGCCAGTGCTGATCGTCAGGTGGGTATCCGTATCTTCCAAGTGGTCTTGGACGGAGCGTATTGACCGCGAATCGGATCTGACCGAGGGTGGTATTGAGTTCTGCTTGGAGCTCAATAATGAGCTTGAGCTTGCGAGCTGCTTCTGTTGGTGAGTCGGCCGGTTCTGGTAATAGAGGAATTTTGACGACTTGTTGTTTCAGCATCGGTAGAAGCATTGCTGTTAAAATATGGCAGTGTTCTTCTGGCGAGTAATCGGTAGATGGGGCAATGCTACGCCCTCTTTGGACGGATATGTTGATGCCTACATCAGTATCAGGAATACTGCTGTACTTCTCGCATAGATCGCCAAAGCCTCGGATGGCGGCATCTGGAGTATAAGAACAATCCACAACTGTTGGTCAGCGTGAACAGGAAATGATCTGGATGGTGCTTTACTCACCACCTAGTTCACGACAATCAGACAGATCAACAGTTTTCGGGATCGGTGAGTTTTCGTTTTTCATGTCCGATGGCTCCTCGGATCGTCCTTCACGTGGTTCATGACAATCTGAACCAGAAGAAGACTCATCTGAAGAAGAATCGCCTGATTCTGATAATGTCCCCTCCGATGGCTCCCTGAGGGCGGTTTTTGTCTTGTTGATCGCCATCCCGGCTTGGAAAATCGATTGCGTCTTCTGGAAAATCGGATGCCGTTTTGTGGGATCCAAGCCGGGCACGCGGCGATGTGGGTGTGAGGGATGTCAGCTACTCAGATTCTGTGACATCCCATGATCTAACCCCGCAGCAGTACCGCAGCTCAAGCTTGACCTTTCTCCGCTGATTGGGATCCAAGACAGCTCATCACCAATCACAATTTTTCCTTTGTATTTCTTATCTCTCTAGTCTGTGCAACTTCTTGACTGTGCAGGCAAGATCAAAGTTGCACTTGGAAAATAAAAATAAGCATTCAACATGTTTTCGAGCTCTGCAGAAGTAGTCTAGGCCAGACCCTGCAACATAAACCGATGTGCAACATAAATAGCTTCCTAGCAAACTGGAAGAGAACCACAGACATACTTATTGCATTGTTAGACAGACCAACTTGGTAGAAAAAGAATTTTAATACTCATAGAAAAATAGCCCAAAAGAAGGAATAATTTCACTCTTTTATTCATTTTTTTGATAGCAGCGAAGTGAATACATCAGCCGGTACCTCTGCAATACTGGCAAAGATAAAAAAAAAGTTGACGGTAATAAATCTGTAATCAAATGACCAAAAACTGAGTGGGTTGAGTCAAGACTGCCAAGATATCTTAAATACATGGCAGTCATCTTCAAGAGGAAAGCAAGTATGTAAGATGAGTGGGCAAATCTGATGAATCGAAACCAGGTCATATGAGGCTGATGAGAATAGTATGATTGATGATCTAATGTGGTTCTTGGGGAAGTTGACAGCGACTGGATTTTATTTATTTAAACATAAATCATGCCTTGAGCGGAGTTTTGGTCAAGTCTGACTCGACTTCCCAAGAAGGTGAGGAAACAGACTGGACCGAAGAGGGGGCAGATTCCGCGGAGTCATGGGAAGTAGTTTCGGAGCTAAAGGAGCCACTTCTGGAGGCGGTCAAGGACTCGGAGGATGAGGGACTTTCGAAGGACCCAGGATTAGTCAAAAAGGCCTTGCATGGTTCTTGGTGATGATCTTGATCCGTGCAGAGCTTCACATATTCATCATCTCGCCATCCGCACCCGGCTTCACAGGTCTGATGAGTGCCCTCCTTGAGCTCCTCACACTGCTTGTGGCCTATCGGAGACCCGCATCTGCACGTGAGCTGTCGGCCACAATAGGTCTTGAACGGCACCATTCCTACCATTCCCTCGCACTCTGGACACTTTTCATCCAGACAAATGGTTCGACCAACATGCAGGCTGAAGAACCAGACAAGCACAAGTAACGCTGGAAACTTGCAGGCCATAGTGATGTATGTATGTATCGATATGTCGGATGAGTTTTAAATCTTCGGGATTAATCTGGATATTTCGGTTTCAGAAACAAGATCAGGATTGATGCACGAAAGCCTAATACATATCAGAACAAGTGATGAGCGAGAGTTTTTCTTGTTGTCATAAATAAGTATGGCTGGGCGAGACAAACATTAGAAAGCACACATTTGAAAAAAGCACTAGGACTGACAACTGAAATAACCTCAAATAATGCAAGAAAGTTAGAACAGTGTCACCGTCATTTGCTTCTTCAGGATGAGAGATGGGGAAGGTCAAGAAACCTATGTACCGGATTATTTGTGAGGGAATTAAGTATAAAGCAGCCCCCTAGATTTTGGTAGTCAAAGTACTGCATGCTTCAAGCTCATATTATGTATCCACACTTCTTCATACATACTGACGGCAGGATATAATGATTGATGACGCAACACCTTAAGGTCTTTAAATATATGGTCTGTCTGCAAAGTTTCACAACGGGTAACAAAAAACACAGAGAACCTTATATCTGCCAGGTCTGATTATAGGGGGCTGAATTCCATCCCACGAAGTCCAGTGCATAGAGATGCTCTTAAAGAGACGGCCGGATTACTTGAATATATATATACATAGGGTTCTCCAATTTTTACATACAGCCATGCAGGGGAATGCCGAGTCGCATCGGCACCCAAACGGCAAGATACAACCGATGCCGGATCCTCGTATGGCCACTCGGCTGCGCCTCCGTAGAACACGCCAGACGCCGTCTCAAAGTCTCAGAATGAACTCTGCAATCATATTGGCACGGTTTCAGTTACGCAGTCACAACCAGTAGGTAAACATCCTGTAGCCCTTCCACCATAGTCCATTTTTCCTGGATTTGTAATTTTGTAATTGTGATTGTAAATTTGGAGATGTGTAGAGAAGGAGTCGATTCCCGTATCCGGAAACCTCTGGACCGCTGCGACTATCATCACAGGTTTGATAGGTCCGATTTTTGCGTGCCAGGCTGGAGCCCACAATGCGGGAAAGGGGATGAAAGACGTGCGGCTGATTTAGTTGTCGGACGGACGGACCAGTCAGAATTACGTACCACTTGTCACACAAGTCCCGATCATGATACTAGTGGTCAAACAAGTCTCCATGTCTTGCTTGCCGATACTGAACTGATCAACCAAGATCCGGCAACCGATTGATTTATTGACATCAGCTTTCCAATTTTTTTTGGGCAAGTTGAAGGTTGAATACAAGACTGGAAAGTGCTAGATTGTCAAAAAAGTACA